TGCCCGGCCAAAATTTAATACTTTTAAATGATGAAGTGATGGCTCTTCATCAATTATCCTTAACTATATTTGTCATTGCCACTTTATATAAAATCTCCTTGTAAGATAATGTAACTAAATTTCCAATATCTTTGAATACATAAAGTCTTTCAGCCCTTTCTAATTTGCTTATTGTAGTTCATCTTCCCAGACTTCCGCCCTGCCCCTATTCAATACTTCTGTGTCTTTACAAGTCAGAGATTTGCAAATCTTTTAAGATAGCATAGAATGTGTTTCCCTTATAATAATTTCCTTATTGCCTTTGTATCTCCATATTCTTACATATAACCTAACTTAAATTTATAATGGATATCTTTTTGTAAGGGCTGTTGTACAGTCTAAAGAAATAATGAATGGGAATATTTACTGAACCTTGTTTTAATTATTTTTTCTCCAGTTTTAAATTCCTTATTAAAAGCTATTTATCTTCACACTTCACTATTGCTGGAATTATTTGACATGAGAAAACAGAGACTATTACTACAATAAAGAGAAATAACATTTCCCCAACTTTATGTTTAAATACACATTACATCATTGCTTCCGATTATATCAAAAGCTTGTTATCTTTGCCTTCGTGTAGTTTGAAACATGAGTAAAAACCAAGTTGGAATGTCAACCTCCATTCACGTTTCATGGTATTCCTCATTGCACATATGTAGAAAAGTGGATCATACTGAATATTCACTAGTAAGATAAAGGCATTTGATCACTTTTACCAAAGAATACTGAGTGACTTCAAGGAAAGTTACTTCTAATTCATACATCATTATCATTTGGATTTGTCCTCAATTCAATTTTTCTATAATGTATAAACAGAACCATATAAATCTAAACATGATTTTTGTTCTGCATTTCTGATATAACTATCAAGTAGTCTGCTACCTTATACTTGTTGGCACAGACAGAGGATCCACATTTTATAAGGGAATTAAGGTAATTCCTGATACTGAGAATTTAATTAGTAAAAGTCTATGTATTCAAATAATAGACTTCCATTTCCTGCAGTTTGAGTAAGAAAAGCATCTGAAGCCCCCAAAAGTTTGTTTAAAATCCCCAAAGTCATAGGATTTTAAAACCTGGAATTATTATGTATCGATCGTTTCATAATAATCCCTCTAATATATCACAACCAAAACCCTATCAATTAAAACCAATAACAGCAAACATAGCTGAGTATTAGAACCAATACATTTATTAGATTAAAATGATTTGACTTTTCATACAATTGTAGAAGAAAATTCAACACTATAAATTCCATCTCCAATCAGACTTCAGACATTATTTTGAGTTAGTACACTAATTACAGAGTTTTTTGGATAAAGTCTCTCAGCCAGTATTTGAGGCCAGAGAAAAGCTGAGAACTTGATAACTAAAGAATTAGAGAATAATTCTTTCCGTATATAATGAAGACAGTAAAGATTGTGAGTAGAGCCGTTAATTACGTTGGTTAATAAGATTAGTAAATTAATAAGATGATCAATAGAAGCCAGATCCACAGGTTGGTCTGTAACAAGAAGACTGGCAGCTCCTAGAAGCCAGGTAGGATGGGCGATAGAATCCTGATGCACAGCTCTGAGAAGGGAAGCCGCAGCCTCCAAAATTCAGGGGTCTGAAGCCGCTGGGTCCACAGCCCAGGGAGTAGCAGCTCCTTGATCCACAGCCCAGGGAGCGGCAGCTGCTGGATCCAAAGCCCAGAGATCCAGAGTAAGTCGTCTGGCAGGGACTGCAGAGCAAGGAGGTCCTTGGGCGGTAGCAGGATGTCTGGCAGGGACTGGATACCACAAAGGACGTCTGCCAGCTGGTGGGCTCACAGCTGGTGTCCTGACAGCCACTGTAGAGAGAGGAACCCAGCTGGCAGGTGCTGGGGGAGCAGAGGTCAGGGCTGTAGACCAGGTTGCTGGGGAAGGAAGAGCCACAGGAGGAGCTTGGATAGCGGAGGTAGCCCCCGAAGGAGCGGGAGGAGAAGTTTCCAGAGCAGCAGTTGAAGGACATGTTGATGGGAGATGTGAGTTCAGCTGAGTATAGCTAAGAAGACTGTAAGTTTGAAGGACACTCTGGATTGGGGCATTTATATACTCTCAGCAACGGGTGTGGCACCTTACAATGTCATCTTTTCCATATTTGAACTCCCTCATTTGCATATATGTAACTTAGTAATCTTTGTAATTGTAGGTAACTAAATTCCTTCATCTTATATTTATGGGTGAACTCATTTTGCTTTTATGGCTCTATGTGAATGAAATACATTCATGTCACAAAAGCTATGACTGTATGTCATTAATGCCTACTCCATCATGGCCAGGAAAGCCTCTCTTATTTTCTCTGGCTATGACTTATACATCTGCTCCTGTGTTGGCTAAAGAGGTCTTTCTTCCCTGAGTGGGGAGTGCAATGCAGTCAATGGGCATAATTCTGAACAAATATTTAGGAAAAAATAGTATTTAGAAAAATGAAATCAAAACAAAAGCTAGAAAAGATCCATGTGGAGCCATGTGAAGAAGAGCAAAGTGGCAGCCACTATTGAGCCACAAGTGACAATGGCAGAAGGAGGGACAGGACTGTCAGGATTTTCTTCTCCGACAAGTAATGGGTGGATATTCCACTCTATTCAATCAAATCAAAACTGTTTCAAAATAAACTTATTTCATGGCTTTTGTATTATACTCTTATATTTGTAAAATGTTGTGGGGTGTACCTTCCCACAGGATCTCTGAATCCCCACTTCAAAAGTCTGAATGCCTTATGAGCATTTGCAAAGTCATGCCAGCTTGTATTTTTTTCTCTTATTTTTGGTACATGACTCTGTCCTGGCTTTCTGAGATGTAGATTCAGATTTTGTGGGTGTTGAAAAGTATAATTTTGGAGATCTTCATTAAGAAAAATAAAACAACATGATGAATATAATAATAGATATAAACATGAATGTTAATTTAGAATAAAAATAATAACAAACAAAAACTTCCAAAGTTAAAAAAACCCACAAATGTCACAAAATCAAGGCAATAATATGATACCATCATAATCATCATCTATAACCATTTCTCTACATTTTTTGGCTGCATAGTCTTTGAGCCACCTCTATATATGACAATGATTTTGTCAACATGACTTTCTGTAGAAAGAATATAAATATAATCCAGTTTTCCTCTAAAAATTATGTATCAAAAATACTTGAATTATTTTTTAATGACACAGAAAAGCTTCTTTCAACATGGCCATTTGTTATGAGTAACGCCACACCTGTAACATCCTCTGTCATTTCCGTTCAGTCAGTGCTTCAAGCCTGAGATTATGCTCATCTCAGCCAGGTGTCCCTGGCTCCCCACCACACCCCAGTCTGCTGGTACTGGGGGTTCTGTGTATGAGGATCAGCTGCAAATAGTTTTGTACCCTGGGTTCTAGAGGCCTCCTAGCACGTAGCAGAGTAGTGTCTTTGTTCTAATCCTTCTTCTTGAAGTCAAAGCTCCCTGAGGTTTATAAGGTTGACACTGGCGGCCAGATGTGTCTAAAAGCAGTGTGAGCAGCCCTCTGGATACACCTACAGCCTGCGGACTACCACCAGTGACTCCTAGGCTACAGCAGCAGAGCCAGAGCCGCAGATTTCTCCCAGTCTCCCTGGAGGAGAGCCAATGGAGCTTTGGAAAATGTCAAGCAAGAGAAGGGCTGTCAAGCTTAAGCTTTATTAGGTTGTGTCTGTCTCTGCCTCTACCTAAGATGCCCTGCCCAAGACTTCTGAACATGTACTCATGACGGTCTCTCTGCACTATCAGGGACCTTCATGGAGTGCCCGGGTCTTCCTCTGGACACCCGTCATGGCAATGTCTGTCCCCAGAGCTCCAACTTTAGTTTCAGTAATTACATTGTTACATGCGTTTTTGTTGTTGCTTTTGTTGTCTTCATCCCTATTTAATCCTAAATCAAAACACAAAACAAAATAAGAAAATGTCTGATAGATTCACTATGTTCTTTGAATATAGCTATATGTTTGCTGACAATTCGAGACAAATGCACTGATGTAACACATAGCACATATGTGATATGAGGGCTCAAGAAGTGTAATACCATGTCACTGAATTGCAAATCTATTTAATAAAGATGTAATAAAAGTATATAACAGGTACTAAAATTACTATTTTTTTCTTAATTTAAAAGTATATTTAATTGGAATCTTTTTAAAGACCTACTGTATAGGATTTGTATAAAGTCAAAGAAATGATGAAATATCTGCACTCACATCAAACAGCTACTTTTAACAAGTTTATCCTTTGATCATCTAAATTTCCAAATTTCTTCCTATGGGCTCCTGGCCTATGGGGTAAAAGTCCTAGCCCAACATTGCCCAGGCAATGTTGTGAGCACCATTCCTTTCTCAAATCCCTGTTTCAAAAAGAACTTTCAAAAAAATTGCCATCCTATCACAACCAAGAATGACTTTATTAACTTGAAGGAGGACCAGTGTTAATAAAAATAACAAAGTCAGCAAATTGTCTATCATGGCACAACCATCTGTCTGCCCTTGTAGGCATACAATGGTACCCTTCTCTTCCCCCTATATATGCAACCCTCGTCACAGCAATGTGGTGGCGAATGATACCAGTTGAGATAATAGACCACAAACTCTCAGGTACTCTACCAAATCCTGCCCGCAAAGCTTTGTTCATCTCACAAATATAGGCCCCTGTGGGCTTTTTCATAAACTTCAAATTAGTTGCAATATTTAAAAATAAAAATAATTCAACATAAAATATGGAGTTTTGATTTCTTAGAAACAAATTATGAAAATCTAGTGATACTGAATTTTCTCACTCCTAGTTGTCTGGAACTGTGTTCAAGATATCTGCATGTCTAACTTCCCTTTTCATTCTATGGATATTTATCTATGTATGGGGCATGTTCCTTATAATTCCCCATAACTCTAACTACTCCTCTATTCTCTCAGCTCTAAAGCCAAATTTCAGTTGTGATTAGTCATCAAGCCTGCACTGTTTTTTTTTGTTAGTTGATGTCTCTGTCATAAGTGGGAGAATGTGAGATGAATTAATAAGCCTTGAGTTTTAAGAAAATTTATGAAAACAAAC